AAAAGCGCTAGACGGGAAAAAGGCGCTCTAGCTGCACCAAAAACGAGAATCGGATCTGAAAAATCTGGGTTACTAATTCGGATTTGGAGTCGAATGCGGATTCGAAATCGGAGCGGAAAATGAAGGAGTTTGTTGATATGCTGCAGAAACTGAAGCTGAATCCTCTGGCTAAGGAGTTTTCCCTTCTTCGTATTACTCCGGCCAAATTGGTGGTTACAATTTTGTCATTTCCGATAAGAATTCGGGAAATGATGGCCTCCCGAATAATCGAAGGGTATGTTTTCTTCTGCGATTAATCGATTTTTATTTTTTTATATTTAATCAAATTTGGTGTGCTTGATGATGCTGTTTTTAGTTTCTTGAATTTTGTAGAATTGGATTCTGATGTTCGATTGGTTCACTAATTGACTGAATTAATTAATTTGTGGTGTCGTTTTTGTGAGATATGAATTCAGTTTGTGCTTTTGCTGAAATGATCTTTCGTATCGGAATTTTCATAACTTTTAGATGAACGAGCCTTTTGTCTGAATTTTTCGATGAACTGATTCTGTTAAAAGATCACCAATGCGTTTGTTATTTGTCGGGTTGACAGCTTTTCATATGATTGGGTTGTGAATTCGTTTTCAAGATTTATGTTGTGAAAGATTGGATTTTTCTTACGTTTGATGTAATGTAAATGGATTTAGGTTGTAAAAGATTGGATTTTTCTTACATTTGCTGTAATGTAAATGGATTTAGGTTGTAAAAGAATGGATTTTTCTTACGTTTGTTGTAATGTAAATGGATTTAGGATGTAAAATAATGGATTTTTCTTACATTTGCTGTAATGTAAATGGATTTAGATTGTAAAAGAACGGATTTTTCTTACATTTGCTGTAAGGTAAATGGATTTAGGTTGTAAAAGATTGGATTTTTCTTACGTTTGCTGTAACGTAAATGGATTTAGAGTTTTAGACCTTGTTTTAGAGATGAACTGACGTGCTTTTTTGTTAGAGATTTTTAACTTTATGTTGCATTTTAATTTAATTACATGCGGGAATTTTCAAATTCATCGATCATGTTTCGATTGATTCACTCGACAATGTAATTTAAAAATCATTAGCTCTCATTTTAAGTTTGTTTTTTGTTGAGTCGTCGCGGTGGATATTCATATCCATTTTCATTTGAAGTCGATTGAAATCACTCCCCAAATCCTCTCCTCAAATCCAAATCCTTTCATTTCGATCTATTTATTTGACAATGGATTTCAAATTCTTCGATCGCATTTTAATTTTTTTCTTTTTAACCCAATTAAGCCTTTATAGCTCGTAACGAGTAATTCGTTTCACTTGCCAGTTTTCGTGCTTCGCCTACTTAGTCACGCATGTCACTATTTATCCGGCCCTTGTATATGTTTTCATATGCAATTTAATTTATTAAAATAAAAACCTTTCATGTGCATATTAATTTATTAAAATAAAAACCTTTCATGTGCATATTAATTCTAAGTTTTTCACGATTTTACGTTTTTGCTTTCTCCAGAGAAGAAACAACTACAGCCAGGGCAAGAAAAGAATGGGTGGCAGATCTGCTAGAGCTCAGAGGGAAGACAGCGTTAGGCGCACCGTTTACGTTTCCGACATTGATCAAAATGTACATTTAAGATTATATATAAGCCTTAGAATTTAATATTTATTTTTTTCAGAATTATTATTATTATTATTACTGATGTGTTTTCTTCTTGCCCTTTTTAATATAAGATTACCGAGGAGCGGCTTGCTGCCTTATTTTGCAGCTATGGACAAGTAAGTTATTTCCGATATTTCAATTGAATTATATCCGTTTTACCTCATTAGTTTCGATTCTTGAATTGTTGAAAAGCCAATTGTAAGAAATACATATACAGTTAAACCTCTAAAAAATAATATAGTCGGGACCAGGGAAATTCTATTAATTTAGCGAATTAAATTATTGAGTTAATAATTTAACACATTTTCACCGAGTCAGGAGAAACTATTGTTTAATCGAGGTTATTAAGTTATCGAGGTTCTACTGTAATTGTTACAGGGTTATGATTCAACATTAGAGAGTAGAGACGTTATAAATTCAAGTAAGAAATAAAAAAAAATGATTTGTTTCATCTAGGACACACGTTACCTAGGATTTTCGTAAGAAACCTTAGTATTTGCAAGTTTAGTTTTAGTTTTAATATCAATATTGTAATATAATAAGGTTTTCAACCATTATAATAATTTATCGATCTTTATTTTGCCAGGTTGTCGATTGTCGAGTATGTGGCGATCCTCACTCCCGTCTTCGCTTTGCTTTCGTAGAATTCGGCGATGAATGTGCGTCGTTTTCTCCTTTTTTTTTTTTTTTGCATTCCATAAATTTTCCCGATTTTTGTAAAAGTCTCGTTTCTTCTTACGTACGACAGTTTCTGCTAGAGCTGCTCTTAGCCTTTCTGGGACACTCTTAGGTTTTTCCCCGATCAAGGTTTTACCTTCTAAAACTGCCATTCTCCCTGTGAACCCTACGTTTCTTCCGAGGGTAAGCATACCCTAATAAATAATTGAAATTATTTCTTAATTTCATAGTTTATTATTAGCTAATACTGGTGACTTATTAATTTTCGTAATTGATTTTGATTTTGTAGTCGGAGGATGAACGTGAGATGTGCGCCCGCACAGTCTACTGTACAAACATCGATAAGAACGTATACACTTATCTCTTTTTACTGTGATATTATTTTTTTTTTAAATTGAATTTTAAATTATTAATATATTCGTATGGTATTTGTCGTTCTACGCAGTTGTCTCAAATTGATGTCAAGAGTTTCTTTGAAACAAGATGTGGAGAGGTATGGTTGAGTTTCAAATAAAAACGAGTTCGTTTTATGCTAAATGTTTGCTCGAAATTAAATGATTAAATTAATATCTTTAATTATAGGTTTCTCGTCTGAGGCTCTTGGGGGATCACGTGCACTCTACGAGGATTGCTTTTGTCGAATTCTTCATGGTATGTTACATTAGCTAATTTTAATTGATATATCATGATTTCATTCATACTCGTTTTTTTTTCCATTTGTTAGAGCTTATTTTTGTGGTTTCATTAGCCTATATATATGGTGAAAATCATGGTTTTCGTATTATTATTTATTAGTATTTTACGGTTTGAAATCAAGAATAATATAACTTGGGAGTCATGACTTTGAGTCGTGGTTTGACGAATGACTACGATATATACTTTCTTGTTATTTAAAGTCGCAATTATCCAAAAAAAAATTAAGTGAGGTCAAAAACGTCTTTATTGAGTTCAGCAGTCAAATTCATATAAATTATATTAATAATAAATGTACCCCTATATATATAATCGTATGCATAATTCATCCATACCTCTGCATCCCATACCAAACTGTAAACGAGCCTTGCTTCTTACATTACTCGTCCAGTTGATATATTGACAACTTATTTGAATTACTTATCAATTTTTATTTTACTACGGCCGGTTTTTTTTTTCTTTTCGAAATTTATTCAATTCTATGCTCAATGTACATGGAAATGTTAGTGATGTGACTGTTACTCTAGATTATCGAATTTTTAGATTTACAAACATGATCATTGTATCACGTAAAAGAGATTGTTCGTACAGTATATATATTACATGTGCTCGATTTGCAAATACATAATTTATAACAATTTAATAATAAAGTCGTTACTTGGAAAAAAAAATAAAAAAATTGCAGGCTGAGAGTGCAATTGTGGCTCTTGATTGTTGCGGCCAAGTTCTTGGATCCCAACGTATCAGGTACGAGTTATCTGAGTTATTGCCATTTTTATTTATTTTTAACTCGGTGAATTGAATTTCTTCTAATTCAATCGAATTTCTTCTAATTGAATCGGCAATTTCTTAGGGTGAGTCCTTCAAAGACACCTGTGAGGCCACGGGTTTCACTCAACCCGGGAGAGCAGTAATCGGATAACTAAGAAACCCCTATTTCGGTTTTTTTTTTTTTTTCTTTAAATTTTATTTTCTTTTCTATTTACTGTTATTTTTAATTTTAACTGCATCTGAATTTTAACTTGTTGAATTTGACAGTCCAAACTTGGGTACAATTTACTCTGTTTAATCATGTGACGCTTTAGCTTCAGTACTACATTGGTGCTTGAAACTTTTCTTATGGGGCAATTTGAAATTTATAGGGATATTTATGACTGGTTTGTTGCATTTTGGACGATGCATATAAAATATATCAGTTTATTATTTATCTTCTTTAAATTTACGGCGAAAATAAAAAAAATATTCTTGAAAAAATATAAAAACAAATTATATATTTTTTTTATAGACTAATGTATGAAAATGAAGAATGATTCATTTCATAACATTAATCTATCCATAAAAAAGGCGATGAATAAAATAACAATGAACGATTTAATTATAGGAGCCCTTGTGAAGGTCGATGTTTCCCCGATTGAGATTGATAGTATCCCACCGTAAAAGCCTATATTCTAGAAAATTACTATCAAATACGATATTGCTAAGGCCCGAGCGTCCTCCGGACACTGTCCTAAGTATATTTTGCATGCGCATCATCAATTTTTGGGATTTAAACTGAGCATGTTCCAAGGACCATTACCCATTACCTCGCATGGATCGGTTAGTCGATGCTACTGCCGAGTTATTGAGTATAATGGATCTCTTTCAGGTGTATCATCAAATCAAGTTGGACTCAGTTGATCAGCCTAAAGTTAGTTTTATTATCCCGGCTAGTACCTATTGATATATTGTTATCCCATTCGGGCTGAAGAACTCATGAGCTACGTATCAGAGGTTGGTAGATGAAGTTTTCACCCATCAACTTGGGCAAATATGGAAGTGTGTTTTGACAACATGCTTCTAAGAAGTAAAGAGCTGAGTTCATATCTAGTTTGCCTGGAAAAAAAACCTTTGCCACTCTAAAGAAGTACGGAATGAAGTTATATCCAACCAAGTGCTCTTTTTGGGTTCGTATGGGGAAATTCTGGGTGTATATGGTCACGAAAAGAGGCATGGAGCTAAATCCTGACAAGGTGCAAGCAGTGCTGGAAATGAGTCCACCTCGGTCGATCAAGGCAGTGCAACCATTAAGGGGGGACATGGTCGCACTAAGTAGGTTTATCTCGAGGTTAGCAGAAACGAGCTTTCCCTTGGTTATAGCGCCGAGGAAGGGGGAGGAGTTCGAGTTGACTAAGGAATGCCACAGCTCGTTCGAAGATCTAAAGAAGGTGACGGCCGAACTAGCTAGTAGTTCGTTATGTATGTTCCAAAGTCTCTTATTTACCAAAGATACCATGTTTCTAGAAATATCGAAATGAAGATACGTAATGTAAGGCATATCTAGGTTTCCAATCAATTAAGTAATGCAAGAGTAAATCTCGAGTTGTAATTGGAGTTGAAAACTACCTCTAAGTCTCTTTTATAAATAGGGCAAATGGCAAAAAGGCCCATCACATGGGACTTAAATGCATTTTAGTCCACAAAAAAAACAGTCTCTCAATTAAGCTCATCCCCATGTCTTTAGTCTAAAATACCCTCAATAATATAATTCTTAACAATTCCCCCCATTATGCTTTAACTTTTTTAATATTACACATTGACCCCGGATTTAAACAAATATATCACATTTACCCCCAAAACTTTTTTTTTTCAGAAAATAATTTTTTTTTTGAAATATTTTTTTCCGGCCAGATTCCGGCGTTGACTGCCGGAGACCGCCGGTCTCCGGCGTTGACTTTTTTTTTTTTTTTTTTTTTTTTTTTGAAATTTTTTTTTTTCCTGAATTTTTTTTCCGGTCGGTCAACCACCGTTGACCGCCGGTCTCCGGCGTTGACTTTTTTTTTTTTTTTTTTTTTTTGTTTGAATTGTTTTTTCTTAGAAAAAAAATATTTTAATTAATATTACTGTCTTGACTACTAAATTACTGTCTCAGACAGTAATATTACTTTTTGGGACAGTAATATTATGAATATTATTTTTCCGAACAGTAATATTATTAATATTATTATCTAAGACAGTTAAATTACTGTTGAAGACAGTAATTTAACATCCAAGACAGTAATATTAATTAAAACAAATTTTTTTGCAAGGAAAAAAATTAAAAAAAAAAAAAAAAAGTCAATCAACAGTTAAATTACTGTCTCCGACAGTTAAATAACTGCTGGAGACAGTAATTTAGCAACGAATACAGTAATATTAATTAAAAATATTTTTTTTAAGAATAAAAAAGTCAATTAACAGTTAAATTACTGTCTCCGACAGTTAAATAACTGCTGGAGACAGTAATTTAGCAACGAATACAGTAATATTAATTAAAAATATTTTTTTTAAGAATAAAAAAGTCAATTAACAGTTAAATTACTGTCTCCGACAGTTAAATAACTGCTGGAGACAGTAATTTAGCAACGAATATAGTAATATTAATTAAAAATATTTTTTTTAAGAATAAAAAAGTCAATTAACAGTTAAATTACTGTCTCCGACAGTTAAATAACTGCTGGAGACAGTAATTTAGCAACGAATACAGTAATATTAATTAAAAATATTTTTGAAGAAAAAAAAAACAGTCAATTAACAGTTAAATTACAGTCTCCGACAGTTAAATAGCTGCCGGAGACAATAATTTAGCAGCCAAGACAGTAAAATTAATAAAAATATTTTTTTTAAGAAAAAACAAAATTATAAAAAAAAAAAAAAAAAAAAAAAGTCAACGCCGGAGACCCCGGCGGTCAACGGCCGTTGACCGGCCGGAAAAAATTTCGGGAAAACGAAAATTCTAAAAAAAATATTTAGATAGGATGCGTAATGAGGAGTATCTGAGGTTTTCAAAAGTCAACGCCGGAATCTGGCCGGAAAAAAATATTTCAGAAAAAAAATTTATTTTCTGAAAAAAAAAGTTTTGGGGGTTAATGTGATATATTTGTTTAAATCCGGGGTCAATGTGTAATATTTAAGAAGTTAGAGCATAATGGGTGGAATTGATAAGAATTAGGGTTAAAATTGGGGTCAAAATTGAAATTAGGGTTAAAATTGGTTAATTGATGAAATTGGGCTAAATTGGAGTGTAAATCTTGAAATTGGAGTTGAATTGGGTTTCAATGAATTGGGGGTAATTTTGGTATATATAAAGGGATTTTCCTTATTTGCAAATAAGTTTGAATGGGGTGGGTTTATTTGAGAAACAAAAAATTTGGATGTCCCTTTTTTAATTAAGTGCCCTTGTCATGGGCCTATTTGCCATTACCCCTTATAAATATCGGGTTACAAAATTTTGAACAATTCACGTTTCTTTCGGAACTCGACTCTCCTTTTCTTTTATGCACCGGAACATGAAAAATCGTGCCACAACCGTGTTATATATATAACACGGTTATGGCACGATTTTTAATAATAACTACTGAAATTTGTAACTGATTTTCAGACTTTTTAATTAGCAACGTAGATCTATTGGACACGTGGCGTCTTCTTAAAACACGTAATTTGTATTGACGCATTATTCTATTTCTAAAATACACCATAAAAGTGTCCTATTTTAAAAAAAGAAAATCCAACATGGCCAAGAAAAAAAAAATGCCCCTCGTTATCAATTATTATCAAGTAGCGAAGATTCGGTTATACAAAGTCCTAAGACAAAACTCTGCGCCAAACAAATAACTTTATGCGGTGCCTACAAAATTGAAAAAATCAACTTAATTGCGAGCTTGGTCATAGTCAATGATTTGCAAGGCTTTGTGCAGGCCCACAAACTTATTGACCAAAGTCAACATATGTTGCGGTGGGCATATTGACACGTGGGCTTTATTGACCAAAACAATTACGAAACATTACCAACATATGATTGATGTTTGAAATTCGCAGGAAAAAAAAATCTTATCTCGGAGAAGGTAATTTGAAAAATGGTGGTACTTCAACCCTAACCACCGGTTGAATCTTCTGCTGCAACGTATTTTTTTTGTATTTTTCTAAAACTTCTACATGTTAATCGAAGTGGAAAAATATGTTATAATACAAAAAAAGAGTCACGTGGCAACAAAAGACCCACATAATATTTATCACAGGTGTACTGTACGGTCAAAGAAGCCGGGAAAATGGCGCGTCCTCTAAAATGATTTTTAGAGGTTTATGAATTAAATAGTACAAAATAAGTCTATACTTGTTGAATTTAAATAAAAGTGGTCTTTACAAATAAGCTCATCAATGGATACTTATTCATAAAGAAACGAGACAAAAAACTCATTTACCAATAAGTCGATACATGGTCCAGATTTTTGTAAAGGACTAAAATAACCCCTCATACTTTAATATGATCCAATTTCATCCTTCACTTTATTTAACCTCAATTTGACCCCAAATTTCACAAATTATTCAATTTTGACCAAAAACTTTTTTTTTTATTTTCAAAAAAAAAAATTCAAAAACTTTTTTTTTTTCCCGCCAGATTTTGGCGTTGACCGGCGGTCAACGCCGGTCTCCGGCGTTCACTTTTTCGATATATTTGACATTTATCAAGCGGGTTAGCCTGTTGGGCTAGTTATGAGTTTGACCCGGGGTGCGATCGAAAATAAGTCATGTATACGATAAATATGTTACAACGAAATACAATTTTGTTCTTAATGATTAATGTATTGGCAACGTTTAATGTGTTGCAACGGCATATATTCGTTCTAATTAATAAATGTATTAGCAACGATAGATTTCTGGCAACAAAATAAATTCGTTGGTAGTAATCAAAGAATTTGCAACGATTAAAAAATAGACTCGTTATTATTACTTAATGCATTGCCAACGATTAATATGTAGCAACGACATAACAATGTTGTCTTTAATGCATTATTGGCAACGATTTTTACATTTCGTTGCCCGGAACTTTTGGTGACAAGGAAACGGCAACGAAGGTGGCAACAAAATAATTTTGTTGCAAGAGGAATTGGCAACAAAATTAAAGTCTTTTGGCAACAAAACATATTGTTGCCAATTTGACAATTACTTGTAGTGAGATTTGTGAGTTTTTAATTAAAATAGGGGTTAATTTGGATGGATGGATTTGGAAGAGGGATTTCAAATCCATAATAACAAATCTATTGAGGTTGTTTGAATTGAGTGATTTGACAAGAAATTTCAAATTCATAGCTCTCACTTTCGGTTGTCTTTTAAGGAATTATAGAGGATTTCAAATTCCTTCCTACTTCTAGCCATTTCAAATTCTCCCCGACTACGTTCATTTGAAATACATCAATCCAAAGACAACCTAGAATTAGTTAAAATATAGCATTTCTATAAATTAATTTGATTTATTTGTTCAAAATTGGATTTCACTCGGTTGTGTTTTTAGCATTCAATGTTCAGTACTTTCTTTTAATAATGACGGAACCCATAGCCAATCATATATGTGCACTGGGTAAACATTCACTATCGTATAATAGTTTGTATACAAACCATACAAGAGACGTAAACCATATTAGATTAACCATTATTTCAGTGCTGCGTACTTATTTTATTTTTCTTTTCTTAAGGAGGATAGTTACTGATCCCTCAATTTCCGCTTATCATGGTTGACCGCACAAATCATTTAATAGCTTTTACTAACATGAATAACTGCAAGGGTGATGTTTTACTTTTCTACTAAAACAATTGTTATTTATTAAATTCACAATTTATTAATATATATTGACATAAGCAATAATTGGAAGAAAAAAAAAAAGACCGAAGAAATTATGATATAAGGCAACAAAAAAATATATTAAAAAAATGATTATATATGAGTTTCGTGGGAGATGCAAACACTATATCCAATTGCATGGTTTGACTCTATAACGTACAAATGTTCCATGTAGACTGCACGTAGAACAGTCAACTTATTTCCTTCCCTTTATTTCAAACCCTTATTCATTAATTTATTCTTCCCAAGTTAAATAATATTTAATTTATATTTATATATAAATATATGCCCCTTCACTTCATCCAAAAATAAACACACACACTACACACAAACTACTAAAACGGTTGAGTTATATATAGTAATATACTAACTATTACTCAAAAGGGTTGTCCGAAGAAACTAGAGATGTCTTCTCGCCGCCGCGGTAGTAAAGACGCTGTGAAGGTGGTGATAATCAACACGGAGTACGTCGAGACTGACGCTAGGAGCTTCAAATCTGTCGTTCAAAACCTCACCGGAAAAGACTCGATCATCTCCGCCTCTGCCGCCGCCGACCAACAGCCACTACCCATGCGTCAGCCTGCCGTTCGTAGTATGCTTCAAGGGCACCGGTGTTGTCCAGGGGAATGTCGTTCAATGAATTCGAAAGAATGATTAAGGAGTTGCCTCCATTTGATGAACTATGATCTGGGCTTTAATTACTAGCCATATTATTATTACTATTTAAATTTTCAATTTGTTTTTGTTATATACATATTATTGGAATTTTTTCTTTTTTTTTCCTTTTCCCTTTGGGTGAGAAACGTCGCTCGCCAGGTTGTTCGTTCGTAATATATATATATATATATATATATATATATATATATATATATATATATATATATATATATATATTTGTTCTTTTTTAAATATTTAGGGCTCCGTTTGGTTGCCAAGATAAACCATGATTAACTAAATAGTTGAACTTAATTTGATGTTTGGCATCCCTAATAAATTGTCGGGTCGACCCGTCAAAATTGTATAATCATGGCTTATCTTGCCTTTTAGAGCGTTTTTTTTGTTGGACGTCGCGAGGTTCAATAAAATAATTGGGTTTAGATTATTTAATCTTGTCTTGAGTAATTTTATCTTGGCAACCAAACGGGACCTAGATCTATTAAATTATCTTCATATAAAAATACGTGATCGACCGATCTATTTGATTACTCATCAATGGTTCACCAGAACGGTAGCGGACACTACTAATACGATGCATTAATGTTCCGGTCGATCTTTCCGTCACCTGTGACTTACTATCACTATATGTTCCGGTAGCAGACACTGCTGCTGCAATATTTTTTCCTTTTTCATTTTTGCAGACGACAATGGATCCACATTTCTCTAATCGGCACAATTGCAAATATTACTTTCATCGTCTTCCTCCTTTTGTAATACATGCATGATAAGATCAATGAAATTGTAATAATCATCTTCCTCCTTTTGATACATCAAATTTAATTTCTTACTCTGAGTCGCAAATTGTAGTGAACAAAAACTAAGTTTTGCATCTTTGCTTGGGTAAACAACATAAAACCTCCATGTTTTAAGGAAAATATGTGCCAAATTTCCCATGTGTTTTTTTTTTCTTGCGTAAATCCTTCTTGTGTTTTACTTTACTTTGCACGAAATCCCCCTTTCCTTTAAAAGTTAACGCCGTTAACTATAGAGGGGATTTTATGCATTTTTTTTCATAACAGGGGGTTTTATGATATTTACCCTCTTTGCTTCAACAAAATGATTATGGATCTTTGTGTGTATTAATGACTATGTACTACAATTATTAATCAGATGATGTACATGTTTCACTTGGAACTCTGGCCCTGATTTTCTAAGTACTATGTTCAACCACTCATTCAAGTGATATACAATAATAATTTTTTTTCTCCTCATATTATGATTTGGCAGAAGCAGTATGCTAAAATATAAGAAGTGAATTTTTAGTTTTTCTTCAATGTTTACAAAGTTTATATTATGTGTAATCAATAAAATTCATTTATGGATTAACAATTGATTTTGCATTTAAAATAAACTTGCTATAGTTGAAATGAATATAATTTAACTATTTAGAAGGGGTTTTTGCTATGCAGTGTCAAACATCTCTTATTTGACTCGATTAAAATTTAAGCTCGATTCGATTGATTATCAAACAATGCTCACACATTAGTTTACAAGTTTGACAAAAAAATTGCGACCCCATTCATTTACACTCCTGAGTTATGGTGCAAATGAAAGTATATTTAAATCCGATTAAATAATAACAATGTACAAATTTATTTTTATTACAAGACCCGATCCTTTTACACCCCTAATACTAAGGCATAGTTTATGATTCAAATTAAAATATATTTCACCCTTATTTAAATTAATAATAACAAAGTATAATTTTTTTATTTTATTGCAATTAAACTGATATAAAAAAAAGATAAATATATCAATAAATTCGGAACACTTAAACAAGTACGTATCAGGCTATCAGCATCGGAAATCGGGTTGGACTAAGGTTGTGAGTGGTGAGAAGCCACGTCACCCATCGCTTACGTCATCTTCCAAACACTACAGAAAAACACACTCTCATGCGTGTGTCTACTGTCTATTGGTACAAATCTAACCTCACTTCCTAATAAACTAATTTCCCTGAAGAAAAAAGGAAAAACTAATAAAATTTGCAATTAAACACTAACACCTGATAAAATGGGTAATTGGCACTTTACACCATTCAACTATACATATTTGGCACATTCCACCCTTAAATTATAAAAAATAGCACTTTACACCTTTCAATTACCACTAACTTAGCAGATTGCACCCTACGACACTTTCCCATTGAAACTTGCATTGGAAAACTATTTGTCATCTTTGGGTTATGTTGGGTAATCGGATTGCATTCTGAAAACAAAGTTTGAGATAACTCATATTATAGTCGAAACTGATGCTAACTTTTGCAGCGATTGTGTTGGTGCAAATTTTAGACCAAAATTCTAGTTTTGCAATAAATGAAAGGTCATTTAGAAAGTAAATAAATAAAAATATACATTGTTTGCCCGGTGCAAAAATTGAGTTTCCGGTGAAATCCGTTGCCTGAAAAGATATTAAGAGTGCACTCTGCCAAGCTAGTGGTAATTGGAGGGTCAAAAGTCCCATATTTATAATTAAAGGGTGCAACGTGTCAAAATAGTATATTTAGAGGGTGAAAATTGCTAAATCCCCTGATAAAATACAATCTTTAATATGAGGGGGAAGAGGATAGATAATATTATATCTAAAATATCTATATTATTGTTAAAAACGGCTTTATCCAAATATTTAAAAAAAAAAAATCATATACATTACTTGACTGTAACAAAATTGATGCAAATTCAATTTCCTTGAAGAAGAAAAAAAAAAACATATTAGCAGCTATAGATCTTCAATTCTGAGAGAAAGAATCAAGAAACCTTACTGAATTCGTAAGAAAAAAGATATGAGGTACCGGCGGCGATGATTGAAAGGCAAGGGGCGGCGGCGCCGCCACCATTGGTGGTATCAAGACCGGCCGAGGTCAGTCTGAATAGCCCGGTTTTGATACCATCAACGGTGGTAGCTCCACCGTCAGCCACCGCGTCAACACGCTTCGAAAACTCTGCGGCCACCCAATCTCCGAGCACGCAATCCTGCTTTATAAGGATAAACTATTTTATTTATTTATTTATTTATTTTAAATTAAAGACTTATGTTTGGGTGTCAAGTTGTACTTTTTGATTTTTGCAGTACTGGGCTTTTGCCAAAACAATAGTTCTGCAGTACTCTTGAATCATAATACAGTACAATTATATCGCTGCTCTGAAATGGTGGAAAATAATATAAAATGCCGAAATTATATTATTTTCCGTTCCTTTTCTTTTCCATTTTAAATTAAACTATAGGGCAAATTACGGCCACCCGTAAGTTATGGGCAAATTACGAAAACCTTCCTCTTGGTTGGGTAATTACAATCACTCATCAATTATGTATTATCTACGAAACTATTCTTTTAGGGGTAAATTTAGTGATGTTAAATCGGTAAAATCGAATCGAAATTTCAGTACGCCAACACTTCATGCTGTTTACCGAACGAAATATACAATTTGTTTCGGTAAATAAACTAATTACATCAATTTTATGTCAAAATATTTAAAAGAAGGGTGGCTGCAATTACCCAAACAAGAGGTATTTTTTTGTAGTTTGACTATACCTCAGGGGTGTCTGTAATTTGCTCTAAACTATTTTCTTCCATCCCCAACAGAATTTCGATCCTAAAAATTCGAAGAAAACAAATCACAATGAATTATGGAAAAATATGTTTTCTTACAAAAAATAAAATAAAAAATTACTACATTGTATGAGTGATGGATTTTTTTTTTAATTGTAATTAATGAAAATATTTGGTAGAAATCTTTGGAAGAAAATATAATTTTCAAAAATCTTGATACTAAAATAGTTGAATGATTTTTTTTTTTTGCTCTTTTTGGTTTTTCGTAGAATATTATGAATATTGAAAAATAATTAATTTGACATTTGACATACTAAAATATACTAATAAAATAATTAAATGACTTCATTAGCTTTACAAGTTTAGTTGGGTCTATATTATGCACAGTTTTTTGTGTTTCGATTGCGCAAAGTTCTATAAATATTTTTCAAGATTGCAAAGTGCCAGAAAACTATATTTCAGGATCCAAAGTGTTATTAAGCCAATAAATTATATTTTATTTTGATAGAGAAGTTTATTAATTTGATTTGAGTACCGAAATCGGTTTGCTTCACATTGGTCTTGTCTTGTGACTCTTTGTCTAATTGCAATTTGCAATTAAATAACATTCATTTTATTTTATTATTTTTTTCTCTCTCTTTGATAACATTGTGTTAATCGGATAGTATAGACTACTAACATATTTGATTAGAATTTTTTATTTTTATTTCTTAACAAATTTGATCAGAATGATTCAAAGTAGCTCCAACCCCTCAGAAAAAAGGAAAACAAAAAAAAAATTAGATTATGCTATTAAATGCTAACATCTAATTAATACTAGTCCCTCAAATACAATTCAGGATCTGTCGAACTTACACGTAGTGAAATACACTTTCTAATTATACTATCCACGACTATTGTAGTGTGACCAGAAACGGAAAATACAATATAATATGTGAAATACTATTTTCATTATTGAAAATATATAAATCATATATTTTTTTTCTGTAGGAGTTACAAATTTACAATGTGATTACCAATGTGTTAATTTGTTTAAGGTTTAGCATGTTTTGTTTGTACTTGGTACTGCATGATATAAAAGCAGTTAGTTGGTAGTATTATTTTGTACTTCGTACTACATGACACAAAAAAGTAGTACTAACTAATTTCACCAATCAAATAGTTACCTAACTATGTACACAAATTAAATTATGTCATATCTCATTTGAGAATTGATTCCCTAATAGCCAATCTGAGATCACCTATGTACTAATTGATTATCACTTATGGGGCCCACCCCGATCTTCGCAGTTCCATGAAAGAGGCTGCGATAGGCGGGATGGGCCTCAAGGTGAAGCGATCCAGTTGAAAGCCCAATCGAGCCAGGCCCAGCTCGCCCGAAGCCCGCGAGATACGAATAGAAGGGAGTAGGCGGTAGCTTGATCAGCGTCTCATAGAAGAAACGCGATACCCCGCTGATATCATAAATAAACCAAGTCTTATAGTAAAGTAGTATCAATTAATATAGGGGTAAGGGAAACAATCGTTATAGAAACAATTTTATATTCTCTTCTAAACTCTTTCTTACATTGATTAAATTACATTTGTTGTCTCACATACGGCGGCGGGTCCAAGATCCGACGTCCGGTGTACATTCCGACAGTTTAAAAGGAATAGAGTTTGGAGTGAGGTCTTGAGGGTGTGGATTCTACACCATCAGATATTATAGTATTTGTACATTGAAATTTTTATGATCTTACATTTAACAGCATTAGTATTGCAAATAGCCGCATACTTTGCACTATTCTCATGTATAAAATGAGTAGCTAGTTTTAGCTCACTTGCGACTGGGTTTTTATTTTATGCTTGCGCGGTGCGCCTAAAGAGTATTTAGGCAGGGGCCGAGGTTGGGATTTGGCTAGGATGGTCTTGAGCCCTCTCTTAATTAAAATGTATTCCATTATATTATAAGCATAATTGTATTCAGCTAATTTCATTTTTATTAATTAGCCCATAAAAACTCAAATCAAGTCAAAAAAAAGTTCTAAATGTTTTGTACTTTTTTATTTTTATTTTTCCATTTTACCTATTTTCTAATTTTGTTAATTTTTATGTAAAATTCCACGCCGTAATAAATTCATGAACTCCCCACTGTGCACCTGCTTCGTGAAAAATGTCCCAAGTAACCGTACGATGAAGAAACTCGTGCGTATAACAACTGAAAAAAGGCGGACCATATGGTACTACTAATTTTTCAATAACATTTCTAATTTTACAAGAAATTAAATATATATATATATATATATATATATATATATATATATATATATATATATATATATATATATATATATATATATTTCCATTAATTTACTATACTTTCAAACTACAAAACAAAACTAACAGAAGAAGAATTAATTTATAACCAAAAAAACAAAAAGAAAAAATCACGAAAGAGTACAACCCAAATTAAAAACCAATTAATTCCACTAGTACACCCAAATTTCAGAATTGTATATATATTATATATAGATTCACATCTCCGGTACAGCTCCGACGATGACGTCACGATGACGAAAAAAGAAGATTATAATTGGTCTGAATGACGTCAGCATCCTCTTGAGCCATATTCAGCCACGCTTCAATCCCATCACCAGATTTCGATCCCATAAAGAATATTAAATTCTTCCTCGTCGGAACTCCGATTATCGAAACCCAGACGGGCTTACCCCACCCGTAGTCCGCCTCGTAAGCCGGCATCCTGCACCAGCTCGTGAAACAGCATATCTCCAGTGTTTTACTCCCATCCTTAAAAGATGGATCGTTCTCCTCCGTGCCGGAATAATGTTCGAGGAATTCGTCTCCGTTTTCGAGCTTTCCAACGTATTCGGCGTCGGCTTTTCTTATTGCCTCTCTCAGCTTCAATACGACGTCGTAGTAGCTGTAGTTTCGTTCTTCTTCCGCCGCCGCCGCCGCGGCGGTGGTCATCGCCATTGACCTCGCGCATGCGTTCCCGAAAACCTGATTTGGAAGCGGAGGGTTCGCTCGTGATCTTATATCCACCGCGTGGATGGCGGCGAAAGCCCTGTTTTTTCCTCCGTTGTTATTCTTGCCACCTTCCGCCGCCACCGCGGCGGAAGATGCTCCGATGAGGTGTTTCCATATGAAGGCGGAGACGGCCTCCACCCTGGTGGGCTTCTCCACCTCCGGCCCAGCGGCGGCTTTTTTCAGGGCGGCGAGTTTTTGCTCGTCGAATATCAACCTCTTCGTTACGATCTTTTCCGGCGGCGGCGGCTGCGGAGATGGTGCCTCTGGCGGGAAAAACCTGGAGAAATCCGCCGGAGGGAAACGGGTGGCCAAATCGAAGGTGGGCTCGATAAAATCAACAGTCTTCGCATCCCGGCGGCAAACCGCCGCCCATGCATTCACGAAATTCACCAGCGACATCGCATCCGCCACCCTGTGCGACATGCAGACGCCGACGGCCACTCCCTTACACCCGAAGAAGCTGAGCTGCACCGCCAGAGGCACGTCTCCGCCGCCGTACGGCGCCGCCGGCACGTATTTTGCCAGCTCCTCCACGACGGGATTCTCCACCACGTCGGAGATTCTATCCTCGCTAAACCGGGCTTCCGAGTACTCAGCTCCGGCGTCGTTGCATTCAACGCAAGATTCCTCCGGCCGGATTCTCCCGGCGAGTGGATAATACAGAGCTAAAACATCGGAGAGTGATCGTTTCAGCTTTCGAGAGGTCTCGTCGGAACCCTCATGGCAGTTATTATCATTAGCTTCGAAGTAGAGAATTATGTGAGTGTACGTTGGCGGCGCTAGTTGGTCGAGAAACGATAGCCGGAGATTTTTCCGGTGCGGCGGAGTCGGAGAAGATGGTTTAATCATTTCCACACCTATATTTATATTTTCTCTCACCATTTTTATTTATTTTAATTTATGTTTTTTTTTTGGATCAAGAGAGTTAATTCTTGAAGTGGTGAAGAATGTTGTACTTCTTTGTTACCTTTATATATCAGTTGGTTGGTTGTTGGTTATTGGTTATCTGACGTGTATCCTCATTTGCTTACTTTAGTGTAACGTTTATATTTCATATTACATAGTTTATTATACTAATTAAGTTGGGTTAAAATAATATTTCATATATTATGAATTTTAATATAAAAGATAATGTATATATTTAATTTCCAAATGGATAGTGCACACTTTTTCGAGAGCGGCTAAGAAGATGGAGTATTATGTCAACGTGGTAGGTGAAATAAAGAATTTATCTACTTAGTATTTTTTTTCTTATTTAATTTCTTTACGTGTAACATGTGAAAATGAAGGCGTCAACTAATTAATGAGAAGTTTTCAGACAATGATGATACAAAAGCAACTTATCTAAGTTTAATAATCATTAAACTCGTATTTTTTTTTTTTTTCGAATTTTTTTTTTCCTGAAATTTTTTTCCGGCCGGTCAACTGTCGTTGACCGCCGGGTCTCCGGCGTTGACTTTTTTTTTTTTTTTTTTTTATAATTTTGTTTTTTCTGAAAAAAAATATTTTAATTAATATTACTGTCTTGGCTGCTAAATTAACGTCTCCGGCAGTTATTTAACTGTCGGAGACAGTAATTTAACTGTTAATTGACTTTTTTTTTTTTCTTCAAATTTTTTTTAATTAATATTACTGTATTTGTTGCTAAATTACTGTCTCCAGCAGTTATTTAATTGTCGGAGACAGTAATTTAACTGTTAACTGACTTTTTTATTCTTAAAAAAAGTATTTTTAATTAATATTACTGTATTCGTTGCTAAATTACTGTCTCCGGCAGTTATTTAACTGTCTGCGGAGACAGTAATTTAACTGTTAATTGACTTTTTTTTCATATAATTTTTTTCCTTAAAAAAATTATTTTAATTAATATTATTGCCTTGGATGTTAAATTACTGTCTCCAACAGTAATTTAACTGTCTTAGACAATAATATTAATAATATTCATAATATTACTGTCTCAAACAGTAATATTACTGTCTGAGACAGTAATTTAGTAGCTAAGACAGTAATATTAATTAAAATATATTTTTCTAAGAAAAACAATTCAAAAAATAAAAAAGTCAACGCCGAAATCTGTCGAAAAAAAAAACAGTTCAGAAAAAAAATTATTTTCTGAAAAAAAAAAGTTTTGGGGGTTAATGTGATATATTTGTTTAAATTCGGGGTCAATGTGTAATATTAAGGAAGTTAGAGTATAATGGGTGGAATTGATAAGAAATATATTATTGAGGGTATTTTAGACTAAAGACATGGGGATGGGCTTAATTGAGAGACTTTTTTTTTTGTGGACCAAAATGCATTTAAGTCCCATGTGATGGACCTTTTTGCCATTTGCCCATAAATTTATATAGGATTCGCTATTTGTTATACTAAATAGGGATTTTATTATCAACTAGTAATACACCCGTGCGTTGCACGGTGAATATAGTGAAAAATGTTGTGTTATATTATGGCACATAATCGAATAGAGTGGGAAAAAATAATTTTAAGAATTTTAGAAAAACCCATGGAGTTTTATCCGGAAAAAAAAGGATAATCTATCGAGTGAATTTTGTTAATGATCATTAAAATAATAGTTATATGAAGTAAAACAAATTATATTATCTCCAACTGAAAATACAAAATAGGTTGCGGCTATATGCAAGACTAATTCTACTTGTGCAAGACCCATTTATGTATGATCTTCGTTGATTATAGAAACAATTGGATGCAGAACACTACCTGTTTGAACAAAGAAACTTAATAAGTGAACTTTTGGTATATATTTCTTAAAAGATAACAATGTGGAATTTAGAAGCCGAATTTGTAGAATTCATGTGCTAAATTAGAGATTGTTACCCTTCTTTTCTTTTGCAGGGAATGGAGCTGTATCCTCATATTGGCAAGAAGTTTAATATCAAAGTTTTTACAAACTGCAGATTTGGAATGATGTCGTGGGCTGTTCTTGCTGTGACGTATTGCATTAAGCAGGTAGATAGCAATAAAGATTCTGATACTTATCATATGTCTCCGTATATTTGGTCTCCAACATGCTTGGTACAAAGTCCTAAATGATCAATATGTAATTTTTAATCTAATTGGGCAGCAACCAAGTTATCCACTTCTTGAGCCAAATGATGTAATCTTCAATTTTCTGTAATCTTCAATTTTCTGTAAAGATTTCTATGAACGATGCGTTGATGCAGTTGAGGAGATATGTGTTGTGTAGATAAGTTTTTTTTTATTTTTTTTTATGAAACGGTGTTTTTTAGATTGGACATATGAAAAACCGTAAAAAAAAAATTACAAAATCACTCCATAGGACTATAATAATTACAGAAAATGCCCCTAGGGTTTGAAACCCTAAATGCCACGTGGCAGCATATTATGCCATGGATTGTCTTTTTATATATATATAGATTATGCACGTTAACTCATTTATGCATGTCTTAAAGCTTCTTATAACAACTTTCTCATTCAGTGACATGCCCTCGATAGTTTGTAGAAGTATTTAAAGAGATTAGCAACAAATTAAATAAGTATGCATTTATAAATGAAAGAATTTATGGTCCCGAATTCGTTTAATACAGATGTGTTATATTAAGTGTTATGACACTTGTATAAACATGTAGCGGAAATATAAAAACAATACTCAGATTTAAAAATGTTCACAAGTAAAACTTGTGAATTTGCCCTTTAAAGGACGTAAAACTTATATTAAAACAGTATTACAAGAATACAAAGAGAAGAACTACAAAAACTTCTTTATTATGAATGAATCACTATCTTGATCATTCTTACATTCAAATCTAGAAACATAAAAACTATATACTAAACAATCTAGACTACAAAGAATGTACTCACGAGGAGTACGTACAACAGATTCTAAAAACACATTAAAACTCTCATGTATTCTTTTTAGCTCTCGGTTTTTGTTTCTTAGAATCGATTTACTTCTTTGAGTCTTGAAGTCGGTATTTTTAGACATTCCAAGCTTCCACTCCTCAGCCCATGATCTACAAGAAAACCGACTACAAGAACACTCAAGAACATGAGTTAGTGGGTTAGTTTAGTAGTTAAGATAATATCCTCAATTTAACCCACTAAGCATTATACTTAGCCCACTAAGCACTACTTATTCTATAACTAAAATTTAGTTTAAAAATAAGAGAGTGAAAAACAAATTGTGGAATTCCACGTGTTTCAATAAATTTAATAGTCTAAACTATAACATAGAAGTATTTTAAAGAGAATAACAACAAATAAATATGCATTTATAAATTTAATAGTCTAATACTCTAATTATAACATTATGACTTTCACAACTCCAACAAACGAATCGTGGTTGATGTCGAAGAAGAGATTCGATATGTATATATTCGTGCTATTCAGTTAGAATCAGAAATCGTGGTTGATGCCGAAGAAGAGATTCGATATGTATATATTCGTGCTATTTAGTTAGAATCAGAAATCAGGTATCTATGGTTGAGAAGAACTTCGTATTTTCCAACCAATCGTAATAATGCTAAAAATTAACACCCTCAAGATCTCCGTGATTAGGGGTTTATTTGGAGGAATTCACTGAGGTATTTTCATAATTAGGGGTTTTTATATGGGGGAGTTTAGGTAGAGACAATTATTATTGATGCAAAATATGACCGTGATTAGGGGTTTATATAGAGGAATTCATTGATGTATTTTCATAATTAGGGGTTTGTATATAGGAATTTCTTGAGCTATTTTCTTCCTGTGATTCGGTATTATCTTCTTTCCTTGTATGAGTTATCTTCTTTCATTACTTTCTGCTATCTGCATCTTCTAGCCGTAGCGACCTCATATAGATAATAATTTATTAAATGTATTTTTGGATGATTACAAATGAATGAGATTATCCTATTTATACAACTCCACCTTCTCAATGGATGGTGGTGATCATCATAATCTAATAGCTAGGATTAACTCCTGCGATATCCTACCAAATATATACAAAGGAAGATCCTCTAAAGATTTTTATAATAAATGAAGGATTCTAGAAGATCTGCTAGAGCCTTTTAAGAAACTCTACTCTTAGACCTAGTTGGACCATCGTCCATTGAGCTTGCTTGCTGGGTCAACATTAGCCCCTTTACTTCATGGAAAAATGGGTGACCCGTGATAAGTGTTTATTTTGCATGATTTTTCGCTTATCAATTTTTCGAGTTTTGGTCTTCGTTCATCCGAGTTTTCGGCTTTATTTGTATATATTATGTTGTTTTTGTTTTATTTATATTTTAGGTAAAGAGAAGCTATTTTTTCCGATTCGAAACGATTTTGAAAGCGAAGCCGAAAATCAAACCAAACACGTGCAAAAGTGCATTTTCGCGGATTGTGGCAATATTTGGTATTTCAACCATAACTTTCTCATACAACCTCCGATTGACCTGATTCAAGTGGCCATAGAAAGCTAACTTCAAGATCGACAACTTTTGCGAAAAGCAAAATTGTCAAGTTCGGGATAGAAAATGGTCAAAACAATGTTTGAAGTTGGCGCAGAAGCCCAGATCGCGATCCAGCCTTCCTGTATCGCGATCTGGGGGGTCTCACGGAACATTTTTCGATCAAGAACCAGACCGCGATCCACCATTCCCGTATCGCGATTTTGAAAGGCGGTGCACAATTTCCAAGGCTGCCAGATCGCGATCCAAGAATTCCAGATCACGATCTAGGCACATAATTCGAGACGAGATATTTTTCTTTGATTTCTTACTATAAATAGAAGGTCTCTTCATTTTTAAAGATCAAGACTAAAATCAAGACATAACTCTCGACCTTTTCTTCGGTTTTCTCTTCGGTTTTCGCCAGTTATTCGGGAAGCTTCGACGAGGGTTTCAACGAGGGTTTTTCATAAGCTTTTCTTTACGTTTAGTTTATAATTTCTCGTGTTC